AAATCTATCACAAACAAGCTCTTAACTTGTTTTCGAAAATGTTAGACCAAACGAGTTTTGGACATTTTTCAAAATTAAAAATTAAAAATAGTTTGAAAACAACAAATCAGACACACCCTAAAACATTTCTCAATTCCAATTATCAAAGAGAATATCTGCATCGATTTACTCTTCAATATTTTAAAGATGCAAATAATTATTTGTAAAACTATTTAACAAGTTTGGACAAGTAAGCCCCTGTTTGATGGCTTTTAAAATTCAAAAAACAAAGTTTTGAATAGTAATTTTTTGAAGAATACGTAGTTAAGAAATTAGAAAAAAATTTTAACAGTATATTTCTTCGTGTGGTTGTGTTGTTGAAAATAAGTGGGTAAAAAAAATAATAATAAGAGTTTTTGGACAAGTATTGTCAAACCGGGAAGAGTCTCGATGTCCAAATACTTACACTTGACATGGCAATTGGATAGGTAGACTTGCATGTCAGGTAGATAAGCCACTGACTGACGAATTTCAATAAAAAATAGACAGGAAAAATGGCGACAATCTCTATTCCTCTATCTCCAAAGGCGTTCTCCGGCCGACAACTTCCGACCAAATGTGGCCGTCCCACTCCCCGGGAGCTCCACTTGCCCTTCAAAATCAGGTGTTCCTGTAAGAATTCCGCAATTTCATGATTTCCTTAAACAATTTTAAGATAATTTTGCAGTAACCGAATATTGGTTCGATTGTATATTTGTTGCGTGTTTGTGGGTTCAGCGATAGAGAATGGTTTCAAATCTGTAGAAAGTTCTACTCAATTTAAGGAGCTCAGGAATGTAGCTTGTGGTGTTCTTGCTGTTTGGGCTGTGACTGCTGCCTCGCCTGTAATTGCAGCTAATCAGGTCAAAGTTCAAGAGCCTTGCATTTTTAATTTGATTTTACAATTGATAGAAAAAAATATCTGGGAACAGAATTAATATTTGAGGTAATTTCTTTCATTACTGACCATACATGTTGAAATTCTTGTTTCTCAAATGATCTAGCTAAAACAACAAACGTTTAAATGTGTATTAGGACTAATGTTTGTTCAAATGTGTATTAGGATTTATGTTTGTTTCAGAGTTAATATATCGCGACACTCTTTCTGTATCCCCTATGCTGGCCTGAGACGGATTATGGAAAATATGGGCAGAGTTTCTGAAATGAACTACCATCTGAGATAATTTAGATTATTATTTTTATTGTTGTTGTTGTAGAGTCAAAAACCGAGAATGGAAGCATAAACCAGATTCACATAGAACACTTAGAACAGCAAGAAATCGAATCTTTATTGGTATAGGGCTCAGAAATATTCATTGTACCCTTATGTACAAAGAAACGGCCACAAAACACCACAACCCCTAATCTATTTCACACTATAGCTACTCAATGGCTTGAACTCTCTCGAAGAACTACAAAGGCAGCAATCACACAGATTGGGGATTAAAACCCTATACACAAAGTATCACTCTGAAACGAGAACAGAGAATCACGAAGAACAGAAAACCCCAGAAGCTTCACAGACGCGAATGAGAGAAAGCAATGAAAAATTTAGGGCTCAAGAAGACGGTTCAACTGGTATATATACTCATCAATAACAACCATAGATCAGTCATGAAATTGACGGTCCAAAGCACCACAAGTGGCAAGATAAGTGGGTTGGGTTTTTGGGCCAGTTTCAATGTGTTATAGGGCAATGACAAATAACATTCCAACAATGGGCCAGGCCCAATTCATCATCGCCTAAAAAGGTTGAAATGCAAATGTCACAAATGGCATCACAATCCAACAAATTTCCCCCTTGATGCTAATGTTATAAGCACCCAAATACATTAGTGTTTATCAACGCCAACACTAAGAAAGCCAACACCCAGAAAACACAAATTCAACCAGTATCAATTCTTAGAATTTGTAAGTGTGATTTAAATTTGGTAAGAGGAAGTACCTTTGTTCCCATATCAGCGGGATTAAATTGTGGAGGAATTTTTTCAAGCAATATGGACTCCTTTTGAACTATATCTCTAATGAAATGTATCCTAACATTTATATGTTTAGTCCTATCATGAAAAACTGAGTTTTTACATAAATGAATAGCACTTTGACTATCACAATAACCCACAACAGGATTATGCAATTCATTTAGTTCACTCAACAAGCCTTTAAATCATAAAGACTCTTTAATAGCTTCAGTAGCAACTACATACTCAACTTCTGTAGTAGATAAGACAACAATAGATTGCAATTGAGATTTCCAACTTATGCAAGTTCCACACAAAGTAAACACATATGCAATTGTTGATTTTCTATTATCCTTATTATTCGCATAATCAGAATCAACATATCATTTTAACACAACTCCCTTTTTACAAAATTTAAAATGCAAAC